CTTCCAGTGAGACAATTGTTTCTTGGCCTTGGCAATGACGTGCAATAATGTGTACTTCAAGAAGAGAAGTACATTAAACTGTGGCCTTTTATATTATAAACTAAACAAAGTCGTAAATTTATTAAATCTTTGTGTAGAATTCATCTACATTTGTAATGTGCAATGATGTGCAATTATGTGTATCAAGAAAAGAAGTACTTTAAAATGTGGTCTTTTATATCATAAACGAAACAAAGTCCTGAATTTATTAAATCCTCGTGTAGGATTCATCTACTATCTACTTGTTTCTCGAAAATAATGCAAGTAATCAAAATTACATATTATGTAATCATCACGTTTAATCAACATTTAATACTTCTCATATTCGATAATCTTACAAAAAAAACATTTGAATAACAATCGGAATATATCAATATACGAGACTAACCCGATGTATGACTACGAATCTTATCAATTTAATTTACCACTAAGATGCTCAACAATCTTTCAAAGAATCAACGTTGTTACACGACATACACGAGATACGAATTGTCGATGCAGATTTCATATAAAACTGCGAATCCTTTGTGCTTCTATTTTCGAATAATCGATCAGGAGTTCACCGTTGTTGTATTTCACGACACATACGATCGATAAGACGAACCTGATGCATGACTACGAATCGTACAAATTTAATTTACCTTCCATTTATTTATTTCCAAGTGGAAAGAGTGGTATTTTTGAAGAATTAGAGAATCGCACGCGAAACTTTTGCATTTTTTTCGCGCCAAGGGAGTGGCTCGATTTCGTATCGTATCTCATTGTCGCAGTCTCGACAGTTTAGCGAATAAATACGCCAAATAATCGGAAATGTTAGTCATGCGCTGAGCAATCGTTTTCGTTTCTACATACGTATGCCCATAAATGGAATTGGATCGTTTTCATCTTTATCAAGCTGTCGGAACGCGAATCCACTCGCGTTACAGATAAAACGCGATTAACTCTTCAATGCAATTTATGTATCAATAACGACCATATTTTTACATGAAAACCGCGAATTGAAATTGAATCGATAGGGTGTCACGGGAAAGGAGAAGTAGGTATCGATACGCGTGTCCATTTTATTTTATAACTAGTTATCGTGCGATGACCGAGAACACGAGCTAAAAATGAAGCAATCGGGAAAGAATATTCTTTCGTACGTAAAAATAATATCGGAACGTTTTAAACGGTGTGTTATTGTATTTCTTTTTAACGAATAGATAAAATTGTTGGACTATCAAAAATCGAGAGGTTTTTTTATTCGACAGATTTTAGAAAATTTCATAGGTTATATTTTCTGAAAGCAGACACTATTCAAAATATATCTGCGAAATTATATCGACCAATTTTTAGCTTTAAATATTTTTCTTTCAATTCCTTGTTTTCCAAACAATTACCAACACCATCAAAGAAAACATTTTCTTCGAATACCAACGCTAACAAAAAAATTCAAAAATGTAAACTGTTTCACATTCGAAGGATTTTAGAAAATTTCATAGGTTATATTTTCTGAAAGCACACATTATTCAAAATATATCTGCGAAATTATATCGACCAATTTTTAGCTTTAAATATTTTTCTTTCAATTCCTTGTTTTCCAAACAATTACCAACGCCATCAAAGAAAACATTTTCTTCGAATACCAACGCTAACAAAAGAATTCAAAAATGTAAAGAGTCGTAAAAATGTAAACTGTTTCACATTCGCAACAATTTCCTACGGATTATAAATATTATAATTCGTCTTCGATTAACGACTTTAAAGCGTTCACCGACATAACGACCATTTCTTCTCGCATCCTCGCAATTATCTACCCATAAAATCTGGTGAAACTTTGTTCAATAACCAACAAAGATACGCGCCAAATTTGAGGACGATCCGTCTCATACTTTCTCTTTAAAAAAAAAGATGACGACCCATTTTCCAAGACGCTAAGGCCAGAGTACCCATCGAAGGCTTTTACTATAAATTAAATCGCAACCAACGCGTTAAGTAATTCATATTCGAACGCGTGAACACGTTCCGTGGTCATAAATAAAAAAACTGCATAGAAATTATTCTTAACGAGGAGCTTTTTGGGTCGCGCTACATTTAACAGGCTGTCGAAGAGAAGTTGGCCGTGCACCCAAAGTCAATGACTTCGTGGCTTGGTTTAATTGACCCGACGACGGGATCTTTTCACGGCTTTAGGAATCAAGGCCAACGCCAGTTCGATGCACGTATATACGTGTCGTAGATGTACACACGCGTGTCTTTTCGCGAACGCGTCAAACGACTGTAAAAGAGTATAAACTGGAAGAATACCTCGGTTGTCTGGACTTTCCTCATTTAGCGTTACGATTACGAAACGCAGCAATTGGTGGTCGGGGAAATTGAAGTAGGACGACCGTTTCGTCGAAAACTTCCCCGGAGACAACCGGAGATTAGCAACATTTTAGTCGCAAAAGTCGTAGGTATATTCAACAATTTAAAGAAAAAAAAAAAAAAAAAAAAAAAAAACAATTGACGTAACGAAATATCTGTTTATACACTGTAGGAACTATAGTACAAAGAAAAAGAATCTTCAAATACAAAAGAAAAATGATAAAATAATATAAAGTTATAATAATATTTATTTTTATATACAGTCAGTCCCATAAGTATTCATACTCTCTATGTCTATTGAAGAAATTTTCCTGAATTAAATGGCAGGTTTGATGTTTCCAAATAATCTTTTCATTGTAGATACACACTCATGTAAAATTTATTTATGTACATATTTCTTATGGAAAATTTATTTAGTAACATCGAAACTATAATTTAATTTAACAAAATTTCTTCAATAGACATGGAGGGGTACGAATATTGTACATGGGACTGACTGTATGTTGTGAATTTTATGGGGCAAGACTTGACCAAGTTTCCAAATTAATTTTTCATTAGACATACGTAAATGTGCATATTTATATTGAAATATTTCTTTGGAAATGTCAAACCTGTGATTTAATTTAGACAAATTTCATCGATAGACGTAGAGGGTATGGATACTTATAGAACTGACTATATACATATATTGAACAATAGAAAAATAATTTTTATATAGATTCTTCAAATAAAATAATTATGTTGGAGCTACTATAGTACAAGCTTTTTTCGAACGATTCTTTAATCAAAGTAGCGGGGTTCTCGGGTATAGTTAGACCTAAAATAAACAACTAAGGATTTTCTTGTCCCACATGATAAATAATCGATTAAGGTCGAATATCAATTACGAGTGGATATCAATGACTGCCTGCTAGAAAGCGTGCGTATTCCTATCCTGACCCACTGACGACTAACGAATCTCGGAAATTGCTCGAGCACTGTAATTGCACGGAATGACATACAAAGTCACGTTTCCCAGCTCCGATTGTACGCTAATTTTCACGGAGAAATTCAAGAATTAACAATCACGCTATCAATTATCTTATCTTTCCGATTACTTACTGAAATGGCTGCAAATTGTAAAACGTTGTCAAAGTAACACGTTCACACAGGCAAAGACAAAGTTACGACGATACACTTTATAAAGACACATTATAATAGTCTAATCTTAATATTTTACGAATTTTTTTTCATCTGTTAATAAAGAAATTATTTTTTGATCATTTATACGTGAGTTAATTAATATTCATACTTATTGTAATAAGTATATGAATCACAAGGTTATTATATGTCTAGTGAACGTACTAATTTTGCCACATCTGAAATAATGTTCAAAATGCGGTTGTTTTTATTCAAAACCAGCAGTTTCGATCATTGGAAGTACTCGAACGTCCAACAGGATACGTTTTTCTTTTCTGTAGCTATTATTTTTAATAAAAGGCAAAGCGTTTTTCGTTCCTTACAGACCAATCAATTTTGTTTCTGTTTGTACATATGTCTTCGGTATGGACTCGCATACTCGTTGGTTACTTAATTAATATCATTTTCCATGGATATACAAGTTCCAGTACCATTTCTTTTTTAATTATTTTGACAAGTAATTTTGTCTTTTTTTCTTCGTTATTGCACACTTTTGCATACAATATTTCCATGTATAACTAGCCACGTATTTAATTTGGTTTTGGTACTAACAAAAAAATTAACTTAATTGCATTGATTGCAATTTTATACTAATTTATCAATTACGGTCAAATATATTGGATACGTCAACGGCGATATAAAATTTTTAAAATTCCAAGTTAATTTAACGAAGAAGCAATTGTAAGAATGAAAGTGTCGACAGTGATTCGATAATATAATGGAATAGAACATTTTTTGAAGCTGAAAGTGCAGGATAAAGTAGCCGAGTGTCTGCGAGGATACGGTTCCCCTTCCTGTGGTAAGACACGCGTTATCCTACGGATGTCGGTATCCTCCAAGATAAACGTTTCCCAGACGCTGAATGTTTCCGACTGCCTAATAAAGGCCCGTTTTCACTGACATACAATCACGAATTTGAATTACGCGATATCTAGTATCTCAATCATTGTGAAAATTTCAACGTAATAAGGATTACATTCACACCATTTTCTATTCATTCTATTATTATATATATAATTAGTGTTTTTCAACATTTTGATGTTTTAACTATCGATCTATTTAAAAAGAGTATACCTTGGAAAAAAACTTACCACATACCGTCTTAAATTATATAAATTTTCTATTCATTTTCCATTCATTATATTATATCTTCTATACGAATAGCGTTTTTCAAGAAGCTCACACGTTAACTACCCAACCTGTTTAGAAGGAGTCTACACGTTAAAAGAGAGTTTATCATACATATTACTAATGCGAAACATAATTTATGATACAAAATTAAAAATCGTGTTTTTCTGTTCGGTAAAAACGGACCTTAAGGCAGGGTTCAAGTTGGGTGGATACAATGAGTCATTTTCAGAAACATGTGCGTTTTAGAAACTATCTCAGAAACAAAAATTTATTTTTCTTTAAACTGTAAATATGTGCAATTACAGTTAAACAAAACCACAAGGCATTATAGAGGACAAACAGTCGGAAGATGAACAGTCTCCAAAAAGAAGATTGGCTGCTGTTAGTGAAAACATGGTGAAAAGTGAAAAAAAAAAACGTAACTATTGTTGTTACTAGAATTACTTTTAAAAAAATACAAAAGTGTCAACTTTTTAAAAAAAAGAAGTTCGAATTTTAGAATTATCTTCAGATTAGAATAATTTCAATCAATAAAACAAAAATAATTTCTACAGTAATTCTTATTAAAAGGCTACAGCTGTTTTAGTTCTTCAAATATAGTCATACAATTTAAAAAATGCACTTTTAATGGTGTATGTTTAAAATTTCAGAGTTTAGAGAATGCTGTTAATTAAAAGATCGCTATTTGAGTCCAAATAAACTGAAACCCTGGTTTAACGCTGGATTCTTTAGCGACTCCTTCTCCGTGCTACCGGGAAATCTTTAAAAATTAATTAAGCTCGTCAACATGCGTATCACGGTGTAATTGGAGCGACTCGGTCGGAGCAATAACTATATAACGAGGGTGCGTTCACGCCCACGTACTAAGCGGAGCATGTATAAAAGCACCAAATATGGACGGTTTGTACAACGCTTCAAATCTTTTACTATAAATGGTCTGCATCTATTAATGACACGCCAAGGGCATAAGTACACGCATTTATAGTCTTCTTACTTTCTACTTCTCGCAACGAAAGTTCGACGTGTCTGATTTAGGTTAAGTACGGAAACGAAAATAAATTCAATTATCTTGATATTAGCAATGTTACACAGATGACTCCGTTATAACGACATCTGGTCAAAATGTACTGAAATACAGGGTGTCCCAAAAATGTTGTAACACCTTGAAAGAGGTGGTTCAGGAGGTGATTTGAAACAACTTTTTCCTTAGCGAAAATGTTGTCCGAGGCTCCGTTGAGGAGATATTAACAGAAAACACTGACCAATCAGAGCGCGCGTATACCGTTGGAGCGGCCGCGGTCGCGTATGAGCGCAGCTACCTATCACGTAGCCTATGCTCCACCGGCATACGCGCGCTCTGATTGGTCAGTGTTTTCCGTTAATATCTCCTCAACGAAGCCTCGGACAACATTTTTCGCTAAAGAAAAAGTTGTTTCAAATATACCTCCCGAACCACCTCCTTCAATGTGTTACAACATTTTTGGGACACCCTGTACAATTAATCGTAACGTTCTTTGTATTTTATTTAAATACTCACCAATTACGATAATGCAGCAAAATGCGACACACATCTCGGTAACTCGATATCTTCTGACGTCTAAAGGAAAGTCAGAATTCCTTAACTAATTGCTGTTCGGAACTTCGTCTATACTTCACTGCTTCGAGAATGGTACATCAAAAGCGGGAACGAAACGAGAAAACGTATATTGAATGCCAATTGAACACCTCGAAAAATCAAATTCGAATTTATGTTTATCAGTTACTTAACGATCACGTGACTTACGCATTATGTGCCAGTCAGTGTTCTTAAAACGCTATAATTCCTTACGTAATTCGTTCGTATTGTATCTGTCCTTTATAAAAGGCGGCTTATGCCGGTTAAATGAATTTAGATTGTCAATAAATCTTTGATAAGAGATCATAAATCAATACCACACTACGACCATCGTTACTAGTGCAACATTGTACATATAACCTACACTTATTCTTTAATTACGATGTACGTAAGAAATTACAAGAACAGCGATTAGTATAAAACACTACTCGGCGACATTAATATATTCAACACTGAGTATAGTTTGCAAGGAAAAAAATATGTCAATGCAGATGATCGATAGATATACCTAACAGATTTCGAAATTAGCTGATTCACGAAAAAAACGTGTTTGCTTTTCAACCTAAATGTTCGACTAAAAATGATCAAAAAGGCATATAATTAATCAAAGTACTTAATTAAAATTATGAATAAACTTGTCTACTCGACAAGGGAAATGATTAGAAATCTGAAAAAATTTATACTCGAAGCAATAGTATGTTCCAGATGATTGGTTATGGTAATTTGTGCATATTTTATAATACTATCTATGACTACTTGATACATGCACTTCCGGTCGGTAACTGAATGATAGACGGTTATGAATCACGAAATACTAGTAATAGAAACTAGATGTTGCAGGTAATCCGCCTAAGATACCGAGAAATTATGAAATGTAAACTCGCCTATACGAGAGATAAATCACAACTACATGTAAATGAAAACAGAAATTATACACTGATTCATTTCTTTCGATTACTAAGTATTTTCTTATTCTGTTACTAGCATGTAATTTGTATTTTCTATTGTTCCAATGTTTTATAACTTGACATGATTCTGTTATTGCAACATTATTTCATCCATGAATTAAGAAATATAACAGAATTCCCCTTTTCTTTCGCTATTAAATGTTTAATTGTATCGTGAAAGTATTTTATGTAACACTTTTGTTGGACACATATGTCGCATAATACTTTCGAAATCATGCTGTTTCACTAGTACTTGACGATTACATTGATAATACATACTTTCATTTGGCTGTTATTTTCCTTCGTATGACGAGTTATTATCACGAATTAATATCCGAGCACCAGACAAAGTTACATTTAGTTCAAAACGTGTCGCTTACGCTCTCTGACAGTTGAAGACGGAACTATTGTTGGACGAGAATATCGGAGTATATTGCCAATTCGTGTAATCAAGCTTTGTTTTCGTCGTAAACGTATATTTTGTAAACTACATGGTGCAAAACGTTAATTCTTATAACAAAAGTTACCAAATCGTAATATGCAGTGGTTAACAAAATATTTATATTAAAACTTCCACAGGAAGTTCAGGTTAGCTCAAAGATGACTGGAGATAACAGGTTAGTTTTTGTTTATGTATTTGTAGAGTGACATAACTGATTTATGTAGTGTATAAGTGACCTTATGTATCATTATAATATTTACATTTGTCTATCATATTTAGAAAAAGGGGACGCAATGCAGAAGAGGAATCGAGTGAATTTATGCCATTAAGTAAAAGAATCAACAATCTTCATATTAATAACTTGTCAGGCATTCAAGAAAATGTGAGCGAGAATATGGAAACGGACTGGAGCAATAGGAATTTTTTGCCATCGCCAAATTATTCAGATCGGTCTCAAGGATCACCCTCGTACGATGGATGTAGTTCTAGCCAAAGTAGCTATACAACCGAATATAAACCTCATCTTGATGCTACAGAAAATCCTTTCTATTATGAAAGTAATAAGTTACTGTTCTCTTTATATATAGAACGCGTACAAAGAACATCTGACTCGTTTTGATACCCCTATTTTCAGATTATAATTACTAATTATAAAGCATTTTTTCATTCCTTATCGATACATTTGTATTAACGTTAAATCATTTCAAATCTTGGCAGGTATAATGTTCAGAAAGTTTCTAGTACCGGTTGACACACAGTTTTTTATTATTCCAATAATAATACATAGGTCAAATAGAAAGACATAAACTAAAATTTATGTAACTATAATTGAGTTTATAATTCTAATAATTATTGGTAATTTATATTACATTATAATATTGACATAAATACTGTATTAAATTACTGTTTCTAAGCGATTCGTCGTTGTTTGATTATATTTTTATTATAAACATGTACTACATTATAAAGTATTTTGTGATTGCATAAGTATGGAATGATTGATATTTAGGATAACAGAGGCTGCAAAATAAAGGAAATACATATAACTTATTTTATTTATTTGTATCGACTATGTGTTATATTACAATGATGTACTTTGTAAAAAGAAAGTATAGATTCAAAAAATTATGAAAGAAATTTGCATCATCGGTATACACCAAGGATGATTCAATCATCTTAAGAACAGATCTGTAATGAAAGAAGCTGCATCCTGCTAACTTGGAGAAAGAAAATATACGTGAGTGTTTAATCGATTGATTGTCTTTATACTAATATTCAAGTTTATTCAATTTAATCGATGACTGACCGACGTTTCACTTGTATCTATTTCTACCGTGATCGGACGAATGATTTAAAGGCATTAAGTCTTAAAGGCCCCTTTTTCTATTCAATACAAAAATATTTCACTTGATACTAAATTGAATGCATGAAACAATTGTATATAATTGATATATGGCATATAGAAACTGTATAGAAAAGTTTTGAAAATGGTCATTTGATCGATGGTGGTAGGTTAAGTGTCAAGGTACAATTAAAAAATTTATATAGAGCGCGTAAAGTATCGAAATATGGCGCCTATCGAAATATTCTCGAAATATCGATTCTCGACCTAACCTCACTTCAGTCTCCGCTAGGTGCGCACGGAGGTAGTGTCGCTCTGTAGTGGTAGAGGAAACGAAGTGACTGGGAGTAGGATAGAGGGACGGACAGGTGTTTTTTGCGCAGTTAAAAATTTTCCCCCAAAAGTTCGCGACTCTCGTAAAACTGCAAAGAGTTTCCGTTGGTACCTGTAAATAGAACGCTACTAGAAGAATTGACTGTTCAATGGACTAGCGCGCATGCGCTGCTTTCCCCTCGCTCTCACAATATACTCCGCGCGTAACCGCCGCCATAGTTGATATTTCTCCGATAGAATATTAATAGCGGCGTAAGTTTTCGCGGTTTAACGTATTTTTTAATTTACCGACCGGAAAACGAGAATGCATTCGACGAGGGCGGTGAGACGAGGCCGTTCAAGATAAAGCTGGGACCCATAGGAAGAAGGAGGGTGTCTCTACTTTCACAGCTCGTGGTTTTACAGGAGAGTGGCCTGGCATCGCGGCGCTTCGAGTTAACGTGTGACCACTGTCGGGTGGCTATGTACCGTTAGCTCGAATTCATTCCCCGTTGGCCGGCCCGATACCCACGCTTACCTACCGACCGGGGGCCATACTCGATCGAACTCGACCGTCGTAAACCCGGAAATGAGTGCGCGTCGCGGATCGCCGTTACCGCAGAAAAGTTGCTAGTAGTGCGCGACTCGATCACGAGTCACACGACTCGTTGATTTGCCCAGAGGCACGTTCGTTTGGACATACGTCTCGTATGACGTGTGCGACCGTAAACAGTGGCCGCGGCTAACCAGAAGAGCCGTGGCACACGGCGAACGTGTACGTAAAAATGAGAAAGTTGCTGCAGCCGCGGTGAAGATTGAGAACGACGCAGGCGAGCCAGCCAGGCGGACGGTCTCTGTACTACGCGAAGGTGTTCTGACGCGGCGACCAGTAGTAGCAGTACGTCGAAAGGAGTGCACAAGGGAGCCACAGCTGCTCGTGGGTAAGTAGGACACGCATTGCCTCGTGGATGATTCTCTTGTGCCGTAGGGAACTCGCGTGCACCTGTTAATCCCGTACGTGTAACTTGGTGCGACCAGAAGGTTTTCCGCCGACGGTACCGCGCCCCGCGTTCTCTCACGCGCTTTACTCTTAATGCGAAACGTGTGCAGACGAGAAACCGCGAAACAGTGGCCACAGAGCACCCACCCCAAGACACTAAAATCGTCGCGGGGCCCTCGTCGTGGCTCACGGCTTGGCTCGGGCTGGCTTTGGTGGGGTGGTTGGAGGTGCGGACAGTGGTTGAGAGGCTGGTGGGGTTGGAAATTGCGTGGTGGTGGGTGCCCGCCGAGGTCTCGGAGGCCCCTCCGTGGCATCTCGCTGCCTCTAACCCGTCGAGGTGGGGGTGTAAACAACAGCCCTGCCTGTGCCTCTGTTGGCTCTACTCTGTCCTCCGTTTCGCCTCTGCCCTGCTCTCGCCTCTGCCAACTCTGCCCGATCTTTTTCCTACTTCCTCTCCGCGTAACGTCTCCCGATGCGCGATCGAAAGAGCACCGAAGGAAGGGAGGGACGCAGGGCGTAAAGGGAGAGAGAGGGAATAACCAAGTCGAGAGAACAAAGCATCGGCATCGGCAGTCCCGTGCTATTTTCTCGCGTCACTCGATTCCCATCATGGCCGATGTATTACCGATGCTGACGTAGTAACCTTGTCCACTCGACTCCACCTAACCGTTCCCGTATACACTCGCTTCCGATGTTTACGCAAACTCTAATACATCTTTTCTTAGGCTTCCACCCACATTTACCCATTGTCCGATATCCTTCGAGACAGTATTCACGATATTTCCCTCCTCCGTTATTCCTTATCGCTCGTTTTTTTATTCTGGCTGCGTCTAAAAAAAAAGTATGTGCTGATTGCACAATGTCTCGGAGCTGTTCTGTTCTACGTACGCTGCCCCCTCTCGATATCACAGCGTGCCACGTTGTGCGAGACATCTAGATAGAATTTCCTCTAGAAACCGCGAATAGGTTAAACGTCAGACATGCTCTCTTCGATGTGTGTACGCTCAAGAGAGAAAGTCCATATAGGGTATACACGCTTGACAGAGAGGGAGAGGCATGTTGAACCTTAAGAGAATCGGGCGCCATTACGACATGCGCGTCTTGCAAAAGCGTCCGGCAAACGGTACGTCGGCGAGGCTGACCGGTCAGTCGCACACGCCATTCCGCGAAAGCATCGAAAAACGCATCCGCGGTGCGTTTATGCGTGTCGCGGGGTTTCGGTAGTTGTTTTTTTTTTCTTTCTATTAAGTCGTGTGCAACCACCCGCAACGACTCGCTGCCGCGGAGTAATCGTCCGTTCGACACGGACACCCTCCTCGGTGCCGTCGAAAGGAGGAGAGGTGCACGGGTAACCTAACCTCTCTCTTTCATTCTCTCTCCCCCGGTTTTCTGTACCTTCCCTACCACCGGGTAGATCAAGGGCGAGAGTCATCGGTGTGTCCCACTTCGTCTGCCACGATGTCTGGCTTCGTATGTTCTCTCCCGATATTTCGCGTTCCCCTCCCCTGGGGAGTTCCGAGTATGTCGAGGTTCGTCTCCCTTCTTTCTTGACATGCCCCTACCCTTTCCGAGCTTACGGCCAACACGCTTACGCACCTACACACCCGGAGTTATCCGTTCCTTCCCGTCCTATTCTCGCGGTATTTCGTGTGTTGGTGCGAGAGAAAGAGAGGCCAGTCTCGGGGTCTATTTCGCGGTGGGTTCCCGTTTTCCCACCTATGGGTTCCCCCCTACCCTCAGTCGAGGCTCCTACCCCCTACCCCCGTGGGAACACCGTCATGGTGGAGTGGGGTGCAATCCTGGGCCACTTCGACGACTATCCTCCCTGCTCCCGGATCCCTTTGAGGTGGGGGAGGGGGTGAAGTGGGGGAGACCCTCACACCCCCCACCTCACCCCACCCCCCCAACATACCAACACATGGTCAAGAGGTCTGAAGCTAAGACTTTGACAGCGGAGATGGCAAGACGATGCCACGAGCTTAAACTTCGCCACCTTTCGCGAATAACCGCTTCGCTGGTATAAACGGAATGGAACGTTTCAGGAACGGGATGAATAAGGGTTGGTGGTGGGGACAAGTGCAAGGTTCAAGTACCAGCACTGGTAACTTTGGAGTAAATGGAAGGCTGATGCGCCCTCGAGGTCAACCTTGATCTTGACGTATTTGTTATGATATACATATGGTACCAGCCGGCGCACACAGAACTATATACGTTGGGGATCCCGTTTCACGATATTTGCTCGGGTTTTAGTGTGCGTGGAATATATACATCGCACGCACGTGCCAATTGTATACGAGTTTTCCAACTGTGTGTTACAGTACTTGAACTTTTTAAGATCTCTGGACGAATTAGACGTTTCCTTATTTTGGGGGGGGGGGGGGTTATGACAGAGTTTAAAGAAACAAAAACCTGGGAAAGTATGAAGAATTATAATAATTTATTATTGCTAGGGAAAGTTATTTCAGCTTTAACGTTGTAGATTAAAAAATTGAGGATAGTACCAATGTTTTCCTCAGCCCTTGACCATCGAGTAACAATAACGTAGTATACACAGATAAAAATAATGCAAAACATATGCGAGTATATATACGAGTACGAAATTATATTTCTGTATAGAACTTCACTGTGACAATTTTATATCAACATTCTGTAATTGATGAAAGAAAAAAAACATGGAATTTCAATTTATAAATAAATCATTGTATAGGACGATACTGTATCCTCGAATTTTGTTTCACTTTACGTAGGAAAATACTGAAGATATATTAAACGGTTAGAGATTGTCTGTTATTTCTATGAAACATTGAATCTGTGTCGAAACTGTTCGAAGTTATGAAAAGGTCGATGCACTTCGATAACAGCACTCATGCGTCAAAGTGGGTGCAACCGTGTAATATGCACACATTTCTATCTATCATAGATGTGTCTATCACCATTCGGTGTCATACTTGTATTTTCGTTCGTTATATCCGCAATACAATAAAATGACTGATACATGATCAGTATACAAAATAAATTTTAACTTATATATATATTTTTTGTTGTTTTATTATTTACTTTGCAAGGCTATATTTATTTTTAAACATTTCCATCCCATAGTTTTTCGAAACTTACTGCTCCTTTATCGATAAATTCCAATTGTATTCGAACAAATGTTTATAAATCATTTCTTTCTTTGGTTTCCAGATTTAATTATCGTGGAAGATGAATTTCACGCCATTTCCCGGGTTCACAACTGGCTCGCTACCGACGGGTACGGTTCACCAGTTTGCGACCGCTAAGTTCGCACAGAACCTGCCGACTGGGGGCCAGGTAGTCGGCGTTTTATCTGGCGGCGAAGGTGGTGTCCACTATCTGAGGCCGGTCGACCCGAACGGTTTTGCGGTTGCACAAGGTGGCAACAACCAGCAGCAGCAAATCATCACGCTACCCATCACTGTACCTGGAAAAGATGGCACACAGCAGCAGCAAACCGTCCAGATCCAGGTGGTCAATCCCAGTGTATCGCAGAGCGGGAACAGCGGTGATCAACCCAAGTATCATTTGGCCCCGATTTCTTTGGGACAATTTCCCCAGGGTGCAGCAACAGTCCTCACCGTTGCATACAGTCAGCAAGGCGCGGATGGAGTACAGATCCAAGTACAGCCGCAGAACACTGTGGCAACCACGCAAACGTAAGATCCATGGTTTCATTATAAATGATTTTACCAAGCTTTGGTATTCGGATGTATGAGGTAGTCTGATACTTGGTTTTAATCAGTTATTTTCTTCATTTTAGATCTGATCAAACAACCCAAAGTACATCCACGGCAGTCACTACTACATCCCAGCAAACTATACAGCAAACTGTGCAGCTTCCAGGTGCACCTGAAGGTTTAACAGTGGTCGCGCAGATTCCCCAAGACATGATTTTACGCGAGGGTATGGATGAATCGAAAGAGGATGTTAAGGAAGGTACAACACCGGTGGCTCTCATAAAGAGAGGTAGCATAAAAACTCAGGGGAATCAAAGCGGAGACGAATTTATTACTTCTATGCCCGCCAGTTGGCAAAGTCTTGCTACTCCAGGGTCGACTGTCGCGGATTACTTATCCAGATTGCCTGCTAGTACCTTGCCTATTAGTTTACAACACTTCCTGAAATTTTCGGCGGAGACAATAAAGAGAGAAGCCACTATCGAGTCGAGTCCTTTGGGCGCTGATGGTTTAGACGCATCTGGAAGTGTGACATCGGGAGAACAAACGGTGCAGATTACTGTTGCTGGTGGTGAAACGTCAATCATTCCTGATGTTGTCGAAGGACAAGAACCTGGGGCTAAGCCGAAAAGGAAAAAGAAATACAAGAAGAAACCTCCAAAACCAAAAAAACCAAAACCGGGACAAGTAAGCATTGTTACTGCTCTCGATGGTACAACATTGTTTTGCTGTCCGCAATGCAACATGGCTTACCCTGAGAAAGAACTCCTGGAACAACATCTTATTGGACATAAGATCGAAAGGAGGTTTATCTGTGACATTTGTGGTGCAGGTTTGAAACGCAAAGAACATTTAGAACGTCATAAGTTGGGTCATAATCCAGACAGACCCTTCATCTGTTCAGTTTGCATGAAAGGTTTCAAACGAAAAGAACATTTGAATCTTCACTTTGTTATTCATTCGGGACAGAAGACGGAAGTATGTACCGAGTGCGGTAAAGCATTCTATCGCAAAGATCATTTAAGAAAGCATACGAGGTCCCATTTGGCTAAACGTATCAAGGAAGATCCGTTGAATACGACCGATGCTTCCCAAAATCCTCAACAGCAGACAGATCAACAACAAGCAGAGCAATTGCAACAACAAGCGGAGCAGTTGCAACAGCAAGCAGACCAATTACAGCAACAATCGTCGGTGTCTGAATTACAACAGATACAGATACAAGTAGGCCAAGGATCTCAGGCACAGATTCATCAGATAGCCGTCAGCGAACAGTCTACAGTTGTCCTTCCGACCGCGGCAGAAACTGGAGCAATGGCTATACTTCATCATCAACAGCAGCAACAACAACAACAACAACAGCAGCAGCAGCAGCAGCAGCAACAACAGCAGCAGCAGCAACAACAGCAACAGCATTAGCAGCAGCATACCGCCCCGAATCAACCTGGGCGGTACTTTCGATTCAATCATCAACAGGCCAGAGGTCGTGCAAGGCAAGGTGTTGTTGCCGACTGAATTCTATACTAATCCCATAGTAAAATTGGTATCGTGTAAAGAAAAATTCGTTGATGGTGGTTATCGTTGCCTAGTAGTGGTGTTGCGAAAAAAAAAAAAGAAAACGAGATCTTTTACCGACGAGCCGTCGCATTTCAAAGTTTGTACACCATCAGCTTCTTAAGGAAGTCGTAGGCCAGATTAATGTACGATTATAATTATTCTGCAAAACGCACTGAGCTGACTGACGAACGAGGTTCGTACATATGATGTTTCTTTTTTGCGTACACGTTATAGCGTACGTGTAAGAAAATATGAGTGTATCTACTCGGTTAATTCAAAATGTTTTGTCGCTAATCCAGTTCCATGACGCGAGTTAGAAATAAATAAAGAAGTTTATATATACATATATGTATATATATATAAATATAAAAATATATTTTTGAAAGCGCGAACTGGATTTGCCAGACAGGCAATCAAGTTTTCGGCTGGAGGTTAATTTTTTTCGATGATGAAACACGACAACAAAAGAAAAATAAATACGTAATGTGGAAGGTAACAAGTAATTCACAAAGCAGGGCTGTAAATACAACCAGTTTATCGTACACAAGAAGGAACAAGACTGTCGTGCAAATATGAAGTGAATCTATTTATTCCACTTGTTCTACACGATCGAGACACAGAAAGAGAATGTATCGTTAACCATTAAATTCGACTAATGCTTGAATAAAATAGATTATATGTACGTATGGTTTACTTAATGTGTATTTTCACGGAAGACAAATGTTTCGTTGCTTTTATCGACTACAAACTAAGCTGGAAGAATAGACTTACATTTACGGAAGTTAAGAAATTAGTTGGATGTCAGCGAATCGTTATCATATTATCGTATACAATATTCCTTTTCGAGTTGTCGCAAGTTCGAGACCTTGTCGGTATAACCCAAGAAAAAAGTAGGTGAAATTTGATAGCTGTTATATCTCCTCGGTTCGCTCGACTTTATATACATTGGATACAAAAAACAAAAACAGCGAGACTGAGAGGGAAAAGGTAAGAACGAGTGAGAAGCCGTGGGAATAACTCTACAATAACCTTACAGGGAATATTGTATATTAATTTGCATATCGTACAGTTAAAGTTATCATGATATACGATCGGTGATTAAATTTATGCATTTAAACTTGAGTGTTTCGCGAAAGGGAAGCATTTCTACATGGAACTAATACTTTTATAATTCTAATGAATTAGAATAACTTATTTTATATAGCATCTAACATGTTTTATTTACTAAACGGATCATTTCTTATGACAAGACTTTACAATCTTCTTCTTTGTGTTGATCGTAATTGAAAGAATTTTTTGTATTATCATTAATTGCACGACAAAAATACAGCAAATAGTTGTTGAGCGCGAACCATCTGATTTATTGAACAATTATAATAACACTCGAACTTTCTTGAGCAAAAGATGTATGTATACAAAAAGAAGAATACTTTTTATTGTAAGTATCATTATTAAAGGCAGTGGGTATAGCTGTACAAGAAATATAATTATTATTTTATTATCATATTATTATAGCTATTATTATCATAATCAGTATGGATAGTCTATAAGTCATTTTCATTGTTACTTACATAAATATTGGAGAAAAAAGCTAAAATAAAACATACATTTAATATACACAAATTTTTATTAATTAACCAATTATAAATATTATTTGTACTATACATTCATATACTTTTAATTTGTATAATTACTAATCGTGGAATGTTGTTAATGACTAAAAAAAAATATACTTACATATTTTAAACAGATTACCTATTAACTGTTAATATATACAGTGGGGGGAGAAACTAATAAATGTTTCAACTCTATAATTTGTATACTCGCATAGGCATAATTTGATTAACGGGTAAGAAAATGCTACACTTCACCTTTCTCTTATAGTGATACGTTAAAATTTTAATTTTATCAATAAAAATCTTTTAATACCGATATAAATCGTTTATTCAAATTCATATTTCCGTTTCAACGACACACGACGCGCTCTACTGAACATTTTTGTTAATTAGATCCTAATGTTCCCCTAAAATTATTGTAAATCAATGCTCGATGAAATTAATTAATTGTCAATTACAAAAATATACGATTACGAATGATTAGCAACACATCGCTTGTCAAATTTTGCTCTGCATTTTTTTGTTCACCGATTTATCGTACTTCTCGATTTCCTAAATAAACGTATACATGTACAAACGACATCCACAGAGTTGTAACACATCGAAAGAGAAAATATGTAATGGCAGGTCGTCGGGAGCGATTCGAAGTTAAAACCCCGATGGATTCGGGCATTTTCGCCGACGCGGCCGCGGGGAGGGTCGGGAGAGTGAAAAAATAGTTAAGAGGCTGGCACAGTAGAGGGCGGACGGATGGGGTGGGGGTGCCGACTTGAGGGACAGGTGTCAACGGCACACACATAGAACGGGGGATCTTTTTCGGCGATTCTCGACTTTGTGAAAATCCTGACCAGGCGAGCGCGGGCTGTTAAGTACTAAATGGTAAGCTGATTCAATGGTGAATTTTCGGAGTTAGTGAATAGACGGTCGCGATGTTCCGTGTTCGGTACGGCCATTTTCTGCTGAATTTCGTGCGAATTCGGCCCCCGCGTATCGACTAGGTGCCGAGAGGGGAAAGTCTCGAGCAGGGACGTTCCTAGAGTACTCTTCGCCCGGGTTCCAATCTTTTTGCCGCCCCCTACCGCCAAAAATTCTTTCGTTTCGTTACACTTACCTGTTAAAAATATTTGTTTTCTCGAGAGAATACGTAAAATAATTAAATACATTTATATCGAACACTACTCGGGCTTTTATTGGATTATAATAAAAAAACTAACGACAACATGGAACACAGTGCTTCATATTTGTAATTCATGAGTGTTGTAATAAAGTATACAAGTATGGATCTGGAAACATTCGAAATTTTAACAAATAATAATGGTTGTAGTTTTTGTATAAGTCTTGTAGATTTTTTTACTACAAACTTCTCAATAATATCGGACATATCTGTCAGGAATTTTGTATTCTGTGCTAATTAGATCTTAATTGAGCAACATTTGCTGTATTACATTTAGCCTTAAGTACTTTGTTATTAATTTAAGATTAGAATATTAATACCTTCTGCCTTTATTCACTAATAATGATTACAAATTATTTACTTCGATTTTGTATGTAGTTAGATATCTGAAAGAAAAGGTCTGATTGTTAGATTGCCAAGGAAACAGAGTCTCGTACAACTCGTAAAAAAGGAATCCCAAATAAACATACATTGAATTTAAAATAAATAGATAAAGTTCACAATGAAAGTGGAATTGTACAATGGAGAATTCATAACCAGACACTGCACGAGTTACAAGGGTTGCAATTCAATTGAATTTGAAATAATGCTACATATTTCCAATAACGTTTCAATAATCTCAATAAAAATTGCCTCGTGTTTTTGTTGCCTCCAGATCGCATAGCGTGCCATCTAATTTCATTCTATTACGAAATACGATATTCTCGTCGGATCATAATTTCCCATAATGAACGAAGAGTCTAGTGTATATTTTTAACACATCTTTTTGTGAAATTTCTTATAGTTATTCACAATTATGATTCACAATATTAGAGGCAGTGATTTTTATTCAAGCAAAACTAAGATGTATAAAGAAGTGTATAAATGTGTTTGGCACAAAACACGTAAGAAATTAATTTTGGAAGAGGATAATTAATTATTAATGATTTAATAACTTACTTAAAATTATATACAAGACCAAATCATTTGGTGAAAAACTATGATATCATAATTTAGTAAAACTGAATTGGTAAAATACATCGGCTGCGTGGCATGCACCCCTTGCACCCATGGCTGGGCTCGCGCCTGGTTTCGAGTCTCCCCTCGCACTTCATTCCACTGCGCGCAACGCTACCCATCCCTCGGACCAGACAATCCCCCCTGGCGTCCTCCTCCCCCGTTCTCCTTCATTCTTCCCGTCCTCTGATTCCCGTACTCCGCGCCACCGTCCCTCTACGACCACCCTTCCCCCGCATCGCAACGTTCTTGGTCGCGTACAATGTTCGTTTTTTAACGTCTCTTCACGTCTTTTATCCCCGTGTTGTATCCCTTTGTACAGCCTTGTATAAACTGTTCGCGATTCTCGTTACGCGAAGGCGTTGTAGCCGGCCAAAAGTGATCCTTCGCGAGAGACCTTGTGTTTCGGCAACAGACGAGCGGTTTTAAAAACCGAAACCGACTGTTCCCCCCGGTGTGTACCTTGAGATCGTGACAAGCGGCTGACGCAGCGGCAGGCGGCACCAGTGACGGCGTGGTGTTCGTGTTTCTCTCGTGGTTCTCTTGTGCTGCAAAAATCTGCCCCTACGCTCGCACTCACCTCTCGGGGATCCCCCTCCGAGGAAAGGATTCGATTCCACGGCGAAGAAACATGGGGAGAGGGACGTCGCTGTGAGTAAATACTCGGGCGTCGTTCGAGCTGGACGCGCCAGATATCTTCGTGTCGTGTATACGCGAACATCTTCTTCGGTTGTTACCTGCCCGATGTCATCGAGAATGTATCCCCGCATCCTCGTTCTCTTCCTTCGGACGATGCCACGATATTTGTCTAAGCGGTAGCAATGTACTTATCGAGCACATGTCACCGGCTGACATCTACTGATTCGTTTCAACGTTTCTTAGTGTGCTTAGTAGTTACGGATCGTGCTCGCAAGTCGCCGACAAAATGTTGAAGGATGTTGGTTGACAGACGAACTTCCGGGACTATCCTGTAAACTCGAAGCGGATTAAAAAAGTGCTGGTCGCGTATAATCATTTCGACTCTGATTTTCTTCGACTTTTCAGGTATTTGATTGACGGTTTGCAATGAATTTCCCGCCGTTCGGAGGCCACTTTCCCGGTACTATACCGAGTATCCACCAGTTCGCGACCGACAGCTCCGGCGGTGCGGGTGGGCGTTACGCCAATCATTTTCCCAACCAGCCTCCTATTGGAGTGCCGGTTATGGGAAAGTACCGTCCTGAAAGCAACGGCGTACAATCTGCTCAGTCCCAAGTGATGATGAACAATAAAGCGAGCTATCCCAACAGCAATGTTCATCATTACCCTAACGTGCCATATTCCCAAACGCAACCAGTGCAACAGCGGCCCTCGAATTCACCTGGAATGCAAGAGAAGCGTTCGTACCATCAGGTAAACCATTCATCTTTGGTGTTAGCATGATATTCCAGGCATACATAGACTTGACGGTAATTAAAACTTTTCAGCAAGCAACCGAAACCATAAATCAACAAGATGTTTGCAATCTTCTACAGGATAAAGATAAAAATAAGGACAAGAAGACAGAGGAACAACAGCGCAACGGAGAAAGCACAACAAACGGTGGCCAACAAGATTATACTATGCACCAACACCATCAGCAGCACGCTCATACTCAAACACCTGCCACTATGCCTGCTACGTGGCAATCTTTGGCTACTCCGGGGTCTACGGTAGCGGATTACCTTAGTCACTTACCGGCTAGCACCTTGCCATTAAGTTTGCATCATTTCTTAAAATATTCAGCGGAAAGTATCAAAAAAGAATCGGAAATGGCACAAACAACTTCGGTAGCGGTAGCAACTACGACAACGCCCAATATAATGATGTCCCCGAATAATAAAAAGAAGAAAAAGAAGAAGCCTCCTAAGGAGAAAAAACCGCGTCCGAAACCTGGTGAAATTCGCTTAACCACAGCATTAGATGGTTCTACATTGTATTGCTGTCCAGAATGCCACATGGCATATCCTGAACGCGAATTATTGGAGCAACATTTACTAGGACACACTTTGGAACGAAGATTTGTTTGCGATATTTGCGGCGCAGGTTTGAAAAGAAAAGATCATCTGACACGTCACAAGCAGAGTCATAATCCGGAACGGCCGTATGTTTGTACCGTTTGCCTGAAAGCCTTCAAAAGGAAAGAACAATTAACGCTACATTTTGTAATACATTCTGGCGAGAAACGACATGTATGCACAGAGTGTGGAAAGGGGTTCTATCGTAAAGATCATTTAAGAAAACACACCAGAAGTCACATTGCAAGGAGAGTGAAAGCAGAGCTCAGTCAAAATGCCGGTACGTTATAACCATTTGATACCGTATGACATTTACAAATAAATTTTCATTATAAATCTAAATTAGCATAACGTATTGATTTTATTTGTTAGGTACACAGCAAAATCAACAACAAAACAATGTCTCGAATATGCAGACCACAGCGGTTACCGCATCGTCCGTTCTTTCTGGTGGACATCCAGGTCCTCTCCTATCCTGAGCCCCGCCACCAGGGAACTTTCAAGTTCCCCATCCGAATAATATTCTTCATACGCATACTTCTCATCATTCGCTGCATCATCATCATTTGACAGCTGTCAATGTGGCACACCAGTCAAGTGTCACGCCACTCGCTACGTCCAGTCATTATCAAACGCACGAGCTCAGTTTTTTGGGTCATGTTAAAGATTTCTGAGATCAGGGGAAGACCTCGGTCAAGAGGTAACATTGAAAAATAACACGAGCGCTATTAGCAGTGAATTCTCGATTCCTTTTCATAATTTGGATTCTAGTGAGTTTTCTACAAGCATGATTAATAATTATCCATGATGCCGCTGACTCTCTATGTCCTAGTACAATAGTGCAAAAGCTGTGCCGTTTACATAAGTTTTTTCGACTGTATGCACAGTTTTATTACCTGTATTTCGGGTACTGTTTTGACATATGTACATGTAGAACTTATCTCCAAAAGTGTGCCATATACCTATGTACTTGATCAAAAATAGAAAAAGAAAGACATAGAGAGTGTCTCCATGCACACATGAATGGAAACCATAATTTTGTGTAGAGAGCATTAGTATAGAGCCTGATATAAGAGTCTTGCCATACTATACGTATGAAAAACAAAACATATTTTTATGAAGGCTTGATGTTAAACGCAAAGAAATTAACTAAGCTATCGAAACTTAATGACAAAAGAAAGAAATATCATGGAAAATTATTTTTTTTTACCGCATCGAAATGATTCATTAGAACTTTGTTCAGATTTCGGTAAGTTTATTTTTTTATTGTTTACTTTAATACCGTCGTATACAGATAACATGAAATTTATAAAATACGCGAAAGGAGATCTGGATGTATATAAGGATGCGAACGAGTCGTCCCACTGATTAATATCTATAACGTCTTTCAATTCTCGCTAAGTTGAGCATGTTTCTAAAATTTGAATTAATTGAATCTATTTGGGATTTACCATTGATCTGTTACAAAATTTTAATTTAAAAACAAATTATTTAATGTTTTAGTAAATCACTGCAAAGCAGTAGCTAAATATGTGGCAATATTTTAGTTGATAAAAAAGTTATTTCGTTTCCTTCAACTTCGTTTCATTTTATACTATAGAAAGTTGACAGTATTTTATATTTTACGATATAGTTTCAAATTTGTGCATATATATTTCTATACACATACAGCAATGAATAAAACTGATCGCATTGTATAAACGTTTCCAAACATGCTCACGTAGTTCAGAATCGTAATGTTATATTAGAAATGGTATATGAAAATCAACTTTATCTGCAGCCTGTTAAGATCAATTAATGTTTGTTGACATTTGTGCTTTCCGATTTAACTCCGACTTAAATCTCCATGGAAATGTATATTATTATTTAGAAAATTATTCTTGACAAATATACATCGTCAGAGTCACGCCGACATCCTTTCAGTCACGATTATTGTGAAAGATTAATAGAGAATGTACCTCTGAAAATAAATACGGTATTCAAAACAAAAGGCATTCAGCAAATATTAAAATATGTTTTTGTATCGAGTGCAAAATTGATATAAATAAACATTAAGCGATCTTGACAAACGTTAGATGAAATATATATTCATACAATCGAACTATTTTTAATATATTCTTATGATTTTGAAATACGTACATGATTATTTATAAGAACATTCATAAACAATGTTCAATTTTGCTCGTCGTTGTATGTATGTATATATATATATTTTTACGATTTCACGAGAGTCGTAGGAAATCCTTTACAATGTAAGATCATTACGAGTCTACGTCGTTTTTATATCGTTTTTACATTGTTTTTTTATACATATTTTTCGTTAAATCTTTTTAACCTTCGTTGAGCATTGATTACGTTGCTAAGGTTTTTCGTTAGAGCGCAAAACGTACTTTTGATTATTTTTTTTTTTCTTGTTTATTTTGTTCTATTATACATACATTATACGGTAACGTTCAAGCAATCGCCACTAAGTACTACTTAGTTTGTGCTCTTTCTATTTATCCGCACTGTGAAAGTTATCCTCGCGGACTGTGATCGTTTCGGACAAATGACACTTGGTACCGATTGTCCAACTTGTCTGACTCTATTTTATATCCTTTTTTTTTTTCTTGTTCATTTAGTATTATTCATCGTGCCATTTTTTTTTTCGAACTCCTTTCGCCGATACCGTTTCTTGCCATAAGCGACATAAATACTCAACCTATCAGGATCGTCGACGCCATTTTTATTATTTGTCGTACGCAACAACAATGTTGATTATATGTTCACGTGATATAAACTAAAAGAGAGAGAGAGAGAGAGAGAGAGAGAGAGAGAGAGAGAGAGAGAGA